AATTCCTAGCCAAATTCGATATCATCATCTATAATAGAGTTAAAAGACGCTAGAGGATTGAATTTAATATTGGAAATTGATATAGCTAAATTGGTTCGTAGGCGGATTTGGAGGTCTATTTGAAATCTGTCCCAGAATCCCCTTTTTGCCCTATATTATGTAATGTGTGTTTAGATATTCCTGTATATAAATATAAATCACCTAATTTAATATATTATTTTAAAATAATAAATATAAGTTTATACTTTTTCTAATGCATTTTTATATTTGTCAACTAAAATATTATGAAAATTTTTTGTATATTTGTCATTATATATGTCTATATATTTTCTGTTTTCTGTTTATTTTCAAAATTAGATAAAACCTTTCAAATATAATTAATAATGTCAGAATAATTGTTTTAATAATATTGATATAAAATAATAAGCATCTTTTGGTAAAAAATTTTTCAAATTAATTTTAGTATAATTATCTATACTAAATAGATAATCTTGAAGTTGTTTGTATTATATATTAACCTTTTAATATGAATCAATTGTATTTATTTTTAGATTATTAGTTGGATAACATACAGATTTATCACTTAAATGTATTTGTTTTATAGCTTAGTTGACTTATATCAAGTTTTTTACTTATTTTACATTGAAGATATTAAAATAAAATTTTTAATAATATTATTTTATTGTTCACTAATTGCATATGATTATGCTGCTGATAATTCTAATAATGAAGTTATTTGTAAAATTTTATCTTGCATAAGATTATATTTGACATATTTTCAGTAAAATAAAAAAGATTGTAATATTGATTTTGTTAATATTGAATTAATTCATCAAATAATTTTTCAAGTAAAAATAATCACTTTATAAATTTTGTGCAATATGGATTTATGTGTCATAATACTGCTGTTAAACATTCAATAAATCTTTTTAAGGGTATTATGTATTTTTTTTTCTATCCAACTTTTTTACTTCATAATAATCTAATTAATATTATTATAAAGTAAGTCTCAACAAATATCTTCCTTTTTTTTGTTCTGAAAGACTAATATATTATGAATTTTTTATATGTAAATTAAATGCATTTGATTCAGATTCTTGAATATTAGCTTCTGCTACTTTTCAAAAATAAATTTAATATAAGTAAATTTCAGTTCAAATAACATTATTGTATCACCTTACAATCCTTCTTTTACATAAATCCATTTTTTTAAAGGTTTACTTAAAAACACCTAATGTGAATACTACAACTTTCAAACTGATTATTTGTTGCTGTATTAAAAACGTTGTAAAACTGTAAATTATCTGTTGATAATATCTTTACAACTTTATCTAAAATAATAGATTTTGTTTCTTTAAATACACATATAAACAAAGAAACCCATTGTGTAATAAATATCAATTGCATGATAAAAGTATTTATAAATCTGCCTTATAATAATCTTACTTTAGTTAGAATAAAATTATAATAAAAGGAGTTAGATTAATCGAGTTAGTACTATGGAAAATTATGATCACATGATTAATATATATGTTTTTAATTAACTTTTATTTGCCTAATAAAGAGGGGGGAGGGTTATGTTAAACAAAGTATTGGATTTAAGTGGCCATTGGCGTGCCTAATGTTAACAAAATTATCAAATTCATTTTCGTTTTAGAAAATCAAAAATTATATTGTAAATTTCGCAACCAGCTAGTTAAACGTCTGCTTTAGAAGTTCATATAAACTTACCAACTCATTTAAAAAAGAATAGTGTAGTAGATTAATTAGATTAATTCCAGTATTTCAAATCCTTCTAATTCTATTATAACTGAATGGGCAATTTATTAGAAATTTTCAAAGGAGGGTGATTTAGATTTAAATCAATATTGACGAGAAAAATAAAAAATCTCCCAAACAAATGGTTACCTATTTCAGGAACGTAGTTTTTCCAATTATAAAAGATCGCACAAATAATTCATCCAATCAAATTTGTATTCTTTTGATTGGTCGATTGTGTTATATAAAGAACGCGCGTTACATTTCCTAGTTGCAATTTTCATTGTTTTTCTTTTACATTTAGTGACCTTTTGTCTTCTTATCTATATAAAACAAAATGACTAGCCAACAGACCGTTAATGAAAATAAATCGAAAGTAGTGCAAGTTCCTTTGAACTTGCCATTCGATAATAATAGTTCACCTGACTCGAACGTTATTGAAATACAAGAAATGCATGTTCATAAACCCAAATATTCTCGTGAAACCTTGCTACCGAAAATTGCACAAAAGTAAGTTGTGTGAAAAATGAGACGAATTCATTAATATTGATTCATTAATTCATTAATTTATATTTTTATTTATTTTTTTTTTAAGTTTTATTTCTCCAACCGATAGAAACTTGTCGCCATGCACAAAGAAGTTGCACGCCAAAAGAGAAAAAAATTACAAGAGGTACAAATTCATATAATAAAGTGACTGTGGTTTTTTTTCATCGATCATGGTTTTCATTTTCATTTCCCATTATAAATAGTGGTAAACCTGTATTCCTTAGTAACATTTTCTCTTTAAAAGAAAATAAAGAGAAACAAGTTGAAGCTGAGCCTACTAACATCGAATCTAAAGATATCTAAATGAGGTTTATGATATGAACGAGGTTTTTTTCTGGAAGGATAAAGATGCTTTAAGTATTTCTAGTATTTGATTAACAAGAACATGATGTTTACTGAAATTTTTCATCATTTTTTTTTTTTTAAAAGAAACCAAAAAAAAAAAAAAAATTAATTATTATAGCTTTCATGTATTGAGCAAGTTTGTTTTTTTTTTCAGGTTTTTTTTTTAAAAAAAAAAAAATACGCATTTTTAAAAATAATAGTAAAATGACCGTTTATAACATCACATCACATGATAAAAAATATGGTTAGTTTTATATAGAGATATAGAGTATTAATTAATTAATCAATCATAATATATGCGTGATAAAAAGTTTTTGTGACTTTAGAAAAGGTTCATTGTAATTTACTTTTTTTCGATTTGATGACGATAATTTGCATCGTTATCATAATTTAATGAATTTCCTTTTTAATGATGATGATTCACATTCAAGATTCGTTATCTGGAGATGATGATAATATGATGATTCGCATGCATCAAGTTTCATTATCAAAATTTTTTTTTAAAAAAAAGGGGGATTATAGTAAGATTCTTATCTAACAAATAAGTATTCATTCATCTGTTAAGTGTATAAATTCGCTTACAAATGGATGAGTAAAAGATCTAATACAATTAGCGGTAGTATAATATTGGTCAAATTTTTATAATGTTCTCCGGCTGAAGTAAATCCGGACTCTTTTTAATATTGATTTCAATTTAAAAGATTTTCTATTATTTTAGGCTATTTCTTTTTTTTTTATTAAAAAATAATAATAATAAATAACAAGTAAAATAATTATACAAATATTAAATTTGTATTTGTATATATCTATATAATAAAAAAAGAATGGTAAAAATAAATAGTTTTTTTTTTATCTTTCCAACAACACTTCTTTTCTCTTTTTTTTCGATCTTCCTTTAACCGTTTCAACGTTCTCCTTTTCTTTCAAAATTAGTTCATTTAAATTTTTTTGAATTAATTTTAATCTATCAATAATTTTATTAACATCCACTATAAAACTATCCTTTTCTTGTAAAAATATATTTGATTTTTTACTAATTTCCCAAAAACAAGCATAATCATTTTCAAGATTTTCTTTTAATGTTGTTAATACTGTACCAACAATATATTCATTTAATCTATCAATTGATATTGGAATTTTTGTTTTAAATTCATTTATGGCATAATCAAATAACATTGATTTATTACTTTCTACATAATTTTGTAAATAAATTTTCATATAATGCCAATTTGATTCTCCCATGGTATCTGCAAGTAACAAATTAATCTCGAGGTTAATACAAAGTACCTTTTTTTTCTTCACAATGACAATAAAAAAAAAGCATTAATAAAGTATTATTATTACTCACTGAGATATGCTTCTTTCATGGAATTTTTCATAGAATTTTCTAATTCGAATTGCAATTCAAATTGTAATTCTCTAAACTTATCTAAAATTTTTTCTTTAATATTATTCATTTTCAATTCTCTATTATCTTTAATCTCTAATTGAAAATTTTCTATATATTTTTTCTTATCTGGTGATATGGTTAATATTGTTTTATCAATAGCTTCGAAAAACCTCGTTATTTCTTTATTAACTTGAGTATCAAGTAGTTCAACTAAACTTTTTGGTATTTCACTAAATACTATAAACCAATTATTCGTCACTGATTTTATAATAGGATGAATTAAATCCTAATTTAATAGAGAGATTAAATAAAATAATGATTTAAAAATAATAAATAAAATATATAGTTGATGTGAATTTGCTTACTGCATTAAAGTTATGAATTACACCATTAGAATCTATGTAATATCCATCTCTTTTTACAGTGGCTTTCCAAATGGCATGATGAAGATAACGCTAAAAGGAAATATTAAAAATTTTATTCACTACTATTAAAGAGATAAATTACAACTTCCACAACATACCCCATAACGATTAATTGTAGTAATACATTTATTTTCGGCTTCAATTCTACCAATATCGTCGATTTTTTTTAAAACAAATTTATCTATTTCATCCGAAAATTTTTTCATGATCTCTCCTATTATATTCTTATATTCATATATTAATCTAATCTTTTCATCATTAAATTTAGTTTTTGCTTGTTGCCTTTTGTCAATCGTATCCAATAAAATATTATCATTCGTATATCTTAACATTGATTCTATTAAAGCGTTGATATTTTTGATTATATTATTAATCTTGTTTGAAATATTGATTTTACTTATTTCTTTTAGATGATTTACAAGTTTTGGGATCTCGGTATCTTCTTCATTTAATATTCTAAATAACAAATGATTAGAAAAGGAAATATAGAATAAAATTTTTTTTTTTAAAAAAAAAAAATAAATAAATAAATAAATAAATAAATAATAAATACCTTCCTCTTCCATCATCACGCATAGTTCGCTTAAGTTTCATGTATTCTGTTGAGCTAACGGTGAAAACTTGCAAATCGCAAGTATTCTTACAATCTTTTATAAATTCTAAAGAAATAATTTACATAATCTCAATAAACAAAATTGTTTTAAAAAATTTTTAATAAAATATAAATGCTTACGTTGAGATTGTAGTTCAAATTTAAGGATATGTTGTTTAATTTTTTCATTCCGATGTTTAACGGCGTAAGCAGCCGATTGTCTTGACATATTCTCCAAATCATTTTGGATTTTTATCAATCGATGCTCTTTTACTTCTAATTCTTTTTCTAATTTGTTAATTTTATTTCCCGTCGTAACAAAATTTATAGCAATATCATTAGCAATATCATTATTATTCGAATTTAGACCAAATTTGGTCGGATCAAAGTGGGTATCTTCTTCAAATTCTCCTTCCTTTAGCTCTTCAATATCTTCCTTGATAAATTTGATGTCATCTTCTAATTTTTCTCGCTCGTCATTTAACTCATTTGATCTTTCGTCTAAGATTAGTATTGGTTAGATAAACCACGTATTTTATATAAACAGGTAGGATTAATTTGTACATACCGATTTCATCATCAGAATCGTCGAGAGTTATAATGTCTGAATGTGTACAGATAAAAGTACGCGATAGATATTTTCCAGTCATTTTAAGCTATCAAAGGAAAAATTTAATTAATATATAAGTAAAAAGGAAAATACGAAAAAAAAAAAATAAGAAATAATATAACTTACCTGATCACGAAGACTTTCGCTAAGAATATTTGCAGTACTTTCTTCACTGATAGCTCTTTTAATATTACTGATGATCCAAATATGATCCGTAATATCTAAAGCACTTTTAGCAGTTTGACTTCTATTTTCATTAATGTCGCAATTACCAGGTACATCGATCAATACTACACCATTCCTCAATGCTTCGAAAGGTCCTTGAATGTGAATCTCTTTAATAAAAGGCCAATACGGTATACTACTAGATGCGGACGATGAACTTTTATCATGACCTTTCGGCGGAAGAAATTTTTTTAATGTTTTTGAAAGTTCTTTGGCATCACGTTTTGGTGTTGTTTCATGAATTGGAATTTTAAGAAGTTCTTGTATTGATTTGTCCGCCATCGCCATTGATTTGGTTATCTTATTTGGTCCAAATACGATTTCCTTATTATTATCATCGATAACTACGTATGACATCCCTGGACCGAACAGAGTTTCAAGCAATTTTTCAGATTCATCTACAAAACGTAAAAAAAAATCAATAAATCACTTAAAATTTCGGAGCTAGATGTTGCTAATTTAAATTAAACTCACTCTTTTTTGATAAAATTTGAGAATCGATATCTTCCTCTTCACTCAACAATTCGAATGCTTGTTTGACTTCCCTTTGATATTCTTCAAACCTTTTAAAAAAAATTTTAGCCGTAAATTCCGAATCATTTGATGCGTTATCGTTGTGTGATATCCTCCAAAGGAACGATGTACATGCTCTGTAATATGAAGAAAATTATTTAATATATATTTATTAATTTTTTTAACAAAAATTTTTAGTTGACTTACTCGCCAGATCCAGCCGTTGGCATCACTTGATGATTAAGTAACGCATTTATAAGCGAAGATTTTCCTTTTCACAAAAAGTTTTGACTTTGAATTAAAATAAAATTCACTTTAACCATATTAAATTAAATAAAAACATCCTTTTATTTACCAGACCCGGTATTGCCGATAAGACAGACATTTAAATCCAGCAAATCACTTCTATCAGAGGAACCTTCTACCCCTCTATTAGACTTTAATTTATTTCTTACTCTTTCAATTTCTTTTCGAAATTCATTTGCTCTTGTGTCGTTAAATATCGAATAATTTTCTATAGCTTTACTCAATGAATTTAAACAATCTCTTAAATAATTTATTAGATTTTTCTGATAATATTTTGAGTTTACATTCGATAAATCTGCTAGAGTTTGTGCGTTGGTGCTTGAGGATTCCACGATAGAGTTATCGACAGTCATTTTAAATTTGCATTAGTTTGAAATTTTGTCACAAAATAATGTACAAGTAGAAAATTTAAGGTTTACCAAAAAAAAGAAATTTACGCAGAGAATGTTTCACAATGGGAGCGTAATATTTAATAGAATCTCCTTTAGGTTAGTAATGATTTATTCATGAAAGGAAAAGTTCGGGGAAAAGAAACTCCACGTAGTAAATTCATGGCGAAGTACACTCATTATGGGAAAGTAGAAAAAATGATTACAATTGACAAATGATTGTTTGTTTTTAACTTTATTAAATGTACAAAATTAGTAAGATTCTAATAAATGAAAGGTTGAGAAACACAACCGAAATAAATGCAATATGATATGATTTAAAAAATTTCCTTTCTATAAAAAATCGTAAGGATCATAAATAATATTTTATGACAGCAAAATCTAAAATTTGTAACAAAAAATTTATTTGTTAATATTTGCTTTTTTTTTTACATTATTTTTTTTTTTTTTTGTTTTTTGGTATTATTCTTTTTTTTTTTTTGGTATTTTTTTTTGCTTTCTCTTCTGGTCCATTCGTATTACGTCAACAAACGTCTTCAACTGCTCCAAAATAGCAGAATGGGTTGTAAAATTAATATTTTTTCCCCTTTTCAATATTAAATCAATACATTTTTTTTTTTTCAAATTCATTTCAAAAAAAGAAAAAATTTGTATCTCGAGATGAAAAAAAAACCTTTTTCTTTCATCATAACCATCTCCAAAAGCGCATCATCGCTCACCGGGAATCGCTATGTTCGATTCTAATCGATACTATTCAAAATATTCAACCCGAATGTTAGACATCTAGGTTCAGTACTCTGAGGTTCATACTCCGAGGTTCAAACTCCAAGGTTCATACTCCGAAAATTATTATTTAGTATTTTATAATGAATTTCAGAGTTAACGTCAGGTTTAACATCAGGTTTAACATCAGATTTACCATCACCTCTTATGTCATTGAGGGCCTTGATTGCGGCCTGTTTTTTTGCGTCCTTTTTATTTCTCGCCGTCCCCTGAGCGTAAGGTTTACCATTAATGACCACTTCAAAGGTAAACTGAGGACTATGATCTTGACCTTTCACTGAAACTTCTTTATATAGAGGTAAACCAAATGATCTTCTCTGTGACCAAGTTTGAAGGGTATTAATTGGATCTTCATGGGGTAAATTCGGAAAAGATAAGTCTCGAGGACCGATTATAGGACTAGCTATGTTTTGTTTCTGTGGGTTTGAATGTGAAGAAAGACCTTCTTTAAGAAGTTGCTCAACTTTCGGTTCTATTAAAGGTTTCATAAATTCCATTACTTCCTGATAATTTTTCCTTGTATCTAAAAATATAGCTCCGACGTAAGCTTCAAAAGCGTCTTCTAAAACCTTTTCATTATTCCTTGCATTAGAACTTAAAGCTCCGACACCTAACCTTAACTTGACATCTAATCTAAGTTTTACCGCAAATTCTGCCAAAGTTTGTTTACAAACTAACTTTGCTCTCAGCATCGTAAGTTCTCCTTCCTTATAATCTTTGCATCTATCATATAAATAATCCGCTACCACAAATGATATTATTGAATCTCCCAAAAATTCCAACTTTTCATTATGATTCCCGCTCATTGGATTTTCATATGCGTATGATTTATGCGTTAGTGCTTCTCGTTCAAGTGCTTCATTTGAAAATCTTCTTTCTTTGATAACTGATGTAGGTTTTGACATTTTTTTTTTTTTATTTTTTATTTTTTGGTATATTGGCTTTATTTGATAAAAAAAATTATATAAATATTGTGAAAAAATGGGTGAGAAGAAAAAAATTTTTATTTTTTTATCTTTTATTTTATTTTTTTTTTTATGTCGTTAAACATTACCCTTTATATATGATGGTCGATACTCGATTACCAAATGGAGAGACAAAAACTTTTTAATTAAGACTTTTTTTGTCTCTTTTTTGGACGATCACGTGTATGAATAACATAAAGCATAACATAAAAAAAAATTAGATTGTAAAGATGATCCATGGTCACACGATTTTTGTGGCGCAAAGTTATTTGTATGCCAAATACTAAAAAAGCCGAATTTATTCAACGACAAACCACTAAAAATTGTTTTTGAAAGGAAATAGAAAGGATCAATGTTTGTCAATTTGTTTGTCTTAAAAAATTGTCATGCAATTTGTAAAACGGGCAATGCTTTTTTGTTTATTATTTTATTATTTTTGTTCATATTTTTGGTAATTATTAATGCTTTGATAACTATGGACAAAAAGTACACAATGTAAAATGATAAAATTGTCCATATCCACCACTTTCATTGATCATCGATATAAATGTTTGAAATTATGTGTGTTATTATGAAACCCTTCTTACCATCACCCCGCTTTTATAATTATTCCCTTCCTTACGATAAATTTATTTATTAAAAAAATATATATATATTTATATGGATTATGTGAGTAATTGTTTCTCGAAATTTCTGAGGTAGCTTTTTTTGATAAACTTCAAAAAATACCCTTTTAAAATTATCATTAACCGATTCAATGATCACCCAATTTTTTTATTATTAATAGTTTAAGTGTAGCACTTGCAGTCAAAAATTCAACTCTTTTATGTGGTGTGATTCATGTCAAACGCAGGAATTTGAGAATAATTTCAAAAACTGGACGAGTGAAAATGATGAAATAGATTCTTTTATACAGCAAACCCAATTAAAGGCTATGGATTTTGATCAATTCATCCAATGGATGCCTTTTGAAGGTTTTGACATCTTAGGAAAGGTTGGCCAAGGAGGCTTTGCTACGGTCTATGAGGCCATTTGGTGTGATGGTCCTATATGGAATTGGAATGTAAAGAGTAGACATTGGGAAAGAAATGATTCTTGCAGGGTTGCTTTGAAAGTACTTGAAGATTCAAAAGGTTGCACGGAATTTTTGAAAGAGGTATTTTAATCAAATAAGAATTTTGAACTCCTTAATTAATTTAAAAAATTTAAAATATATATGTATATGTATGTATGTATTATGTACGCACGCACGTATGTATGTATAAAAAAGATTTCGGCATACGTTGAATGTTCGGCTTTGTCTGTATTAAAGCAAACAATCCTTCGATGTTATGGAATTTCTCAAAACCCGGAAACGCAAGATTTTATAATGGTTTTAGAATATATGCCAAATGGTAATATTCATCTCTTGGATGAGAAATGTGATTGGTCGACGAGAATTTCAATACTTAAAGATATTCTACACGGTCTCTTTACAATTCATAAAAAAGGGTTGATTCATCGTGATTTGCATGCAGGAAATATTTTAATGAATTTAAATGGTCAAGAATCAAAAATTGCCATCACGGATTTAGGGCAAAATGGACCTCCTTATCATACTCTAGGAACGGATTTATACGGAGTTATGCCGTTTATCGCTCCAGAAGTTTTGAGAGGTAACGCATACACTCAATCCTCCGATATTTATAGTTTAGGAATGATCATGTATGAACTAATTTCAGGAGTTCCTCCTTTTTCAAATCGAGCACATGATCAATCATTAATGCTTGACATTTGTGATGGGGTGAGACCTGAAATTAAAAACATCGATAAATTACCGGACGACTTTATTAAAATATTAAGAAAATGTTGGGATCCTAATCCATTTAATCGTCCTTCAGCGTATGAATTATTTTTGTTTGATAATTACGGTGAACTAGATGAAAAATTGTTCGAATCCGGATACGAAATACATTCTGGTGCTGTTTATACAAGTCGTGATCTTAGCGTATATGCTCAATATTTATCACAAGACGAAGGAGTAGAAATCGAATGGAGTAAAGGTAAAAAATTAGAGGTGTACGAAAGGTAAGTTTAAAAGACATTTTTTTTTTCGTCTTTAATATACAATAATCTATAAATGATCTAAATGATTATGAAATTGTTTTTATTTTTTCTTTCTTCAGTCACTGCACCACAAAATTACAAAACATGAATGACGAATTCGGAAATCATTTTATTATTTAAATTTTAATTGCATAATATATTTTATTTATAACAAAAAAAAAAAAAAAAATTCAAAATTACACTTTATTTGTATTTATTTGTTATAAAAAAAAAAAAAAAAAAAAAAAAATTGCACAAAATGGTGCCATTATTTGTTAGAGGGGAGCGAAGAAATACTATACTAATAATAAAAATTCGAAATGATGTGTAGCACAGGTTTTAAGATTATCGTTATTGATTTTATATTAATACATAAAATTTATATCACATAATTAACCAATCATAAGGATGCTCAATCCCAGCTTTTCGATTTGATTATTTATTAGAAGTTTCGAATAAATTGAACCCCTCTAATGTTACCAAATTTTTTACTACATATTGTCCCTTTCTTTTATCAAGAAAGGCACAAACCCAATTATTTACGGCTTACCAAGTTAATAACTATATAGATCTCGAATGCCAGTTCATTGATAAAAGAAAATAATAGATTGCTTTTCTTTCAATTATTTTTGTCTTTCTGTTTCTTTATTTACAGTATTAATACTGATAAGTTTTGGATCAATTCTCCAAAAAATAATCAAAGAAAGGATACGGAACAAAGGAGATCATAGAAAGAAAAATTAGAGAAATTGAATCGAGAGAAGAGAACTGATCATTGAATTAAATTGAACGTGTATGCTAGATTTTTGTGATGCGATCATTCTTGTCTAATTTCCATGGATGAAAATTGGTACAAATCATATAAAAGTGTACCCTAGAATTTGTTCGTTCCCATGTGATATTCAATAACTTGTTTGATCTGTTTTTGCTATTATGATTTAACAGCATTTCTTTTCAATAGATTTTTTAAGGAACAAGCCTATCACAAGATTAGGCTATCATCACGAAACATGTGTCAAAGATTACAATCTTAGGAATGAATGCGCGATATCAATTGTTCAGGATAACAATGTATGATTCAACTCCATTGATTAAGCAAGAATTAATTGTTCGACAATAATGTGAAACGACACAATGTAAGAATTGCTCATGCTGTATGGTACAAAGAATAGGTGCCAGATCGCATCTAAATATGGGGTGAGCGCTGTGAAAAGGGACCCAAATTGAAAATTTCTACAAAAATTTAAATGTAATTTTAATCATCTGATTAATCTGATTCAAAACATTAATTATAATTATTTAAAAAAAATTTTTTATTTTACAATTTTCAGCACTCATCCCATATTTCCTTTGCATAATGAAGGAAACAGTTGACTCGAGTTCTAATGAAATGGTCATTTTGTTGATTAATGCGATGGTGAGTCATCTTCTCTATAAGATTATAAATCCTTGTGATCCATTCAAAGGCGTTATCATCATCACAAAAATTGTATATATCTATTTAGAAACTTCTCCATTATTTAATATCTAGATATTGTACATGGATAATACATAGTTTCCTTTCTTTGTTCCTTACAATTTAAATTAAATTAAATACATTTATGTATTCGAAGGTGCATAACCATAATGAGCGTATGAACTCTCATCACATGTACGATTTATTTTTCTTGCGCATAAATATTTAGTGAGTGAAATAGTATTTTTGTTTCTTACCCTTTGAGATCCTTCCATTTTCAGTGGTGAATTTCTTTAATTACTTTAGCATGAGGATTAGAAATTTATCAATTTCATCAGTTCCAATATGAAAAATGTAACCTGATCATATGACAAGGTCACCAGAACAATCTTTGCTCCTGAGTAAATTTCTGGAATTGTGCAACAATTTAATAGGCGCGAAAATATTAAAGGAAATCTTTTTAGGAAAACGTGGCAAACCCCCATTCAATTTCTTATTAGGACTTTTTTGTCATTGTGCATGCGCACTCGAAATGACTATCTAATCTGCGACATGGTTCCTCAAAAATCATTTGACTTGTATATTTTGCATAAAATGTCAAGTGATGGTAAATTCTTGTTCTCTAAACATTCTTCACCCCTCTCGTCATTTTCTCAGAATTTGGTGAACTCGCTTCATCAAATTTCATTACTATTATTATTATTATTATTTTTTTTTTTATAAATTTCATATTTATCAAGGTGATAATTTTTTTTTTGTTACTTTTTACATTTGAACCAAAATACTTTACTAACATTTTCTTGAAATTTATTTACATTTTCGAACCGATTTTTAAAGAAATATCTCGAATTTTCTTTAAATTTCGTTCCTTTTTTATTTGTTTTATTTCTTAAATATTTTGTTTCCTAACAAAAATATCAGGAATAAATCATACCATGACACCTAAAACTAAACTTTCTCGATGACTGCAAATACACGGTCTATAAACATCAAGGGCGTTGTTTCCAAGAAAACAAGAAGTGAAAGTAAATTTTTTGCAAGTACTCCAAGTTCTGAGGATAATTCTTCGAATGAAGATACGACAACTTTATTAACAACGCAAAAAAAGAACCGAGATAAAAATCTTATTGATGATTTGTTTACTAATGAAGAATTATCTAGTCACACAAAAGGATTTCCACAAACCCCAGGATCATTGGAAACTTTTGCATCAAATGATGGAGCTCTTGTGTATAAAGGTAATTTTTATCACTTTGCATTTTAAATTTTGTAGTTCCCTATTTTTTTTTTGCTAAAAATTTCGTGATCTATCATACTTTTTAGATGACAATCATCACTCATTCGAAGCTGCCATGAGATCCTCGAATCCTTTCCAAGTAGCACCCCATTATACTCGTGACTATGAGAGTATTTTGGATAGTAAACGACGTCAAGGTAAGATGACGTTATTTTTTAGCAATTTTCTTTCGGATACGCGAATATCGTTTTAAGATTTCAAGATTTTCTCTGTCTTTCGATAGGTCGATTGTTATTAGTTTCGCTATTGGAAAACTTTTGTTTATTATATGATACGAATCCTGAAAGAAATCACAAGACCTTCTTCATCATATGTAAGACTTTAAGTGCTATGGGAATTATTGAGGAGGAGGTTAGTAAGCCTATTTTTTCGGAATGTGTGGAGGCAAAGAATAATAGTAGAGATTAAATTACGGTGAATTCATATTTAACGCGTCTCAATCATTGAAAGTATATTGACGAAATGTCTACCGTTCGATCGTCGTACCAACGCACATTTAAAGCTTTGCTCGTTCAAGCGTTGAATTCGATAAAGCAAGAACAACTAATGAAGGAATCCCATATGATAATGGATTCGAACTCTGAAGCAGGAATAACAAATGCCAATAGTCATTCCGTTAATGACTTTCATGAAATTCAGTAAGAATAAGGAATAGGTGATTATTGTAATTATAAAATGATCGAAATTGCCAAATTTAATATTCGTTTATTTCAGCAGATTTCATGAAAGCAACTCTATACATGACCCACACTCTCAAATGTTTAAGAATATTTCGTTCCAAGATATACTTGATCTCGAGAATAGTAGATATAGCAACGATTTCATTGAATTGAAGTTATTAGGTAAAGGAGGATTTGCTAGTGTTTGGCAGGTAAGCATTAAAAAATTTCCTTTTTAATCCTGATAATTACAACCAACTTTCAATTTAAAATTTTTTTTTTTTTTTTTTTTTTTTGAAAGGCTAGGAATAAATTAGATGGAATAGAATACGCGATAAAAAAGGTAAGGTTTCGTGGTGATAGAATTCCAGAAGAAAAGGAAAAGGTAATTTGTGATTTCATCTTATAATCATAAATGATCCTTTTGGCTGCATTTTAATTAATATTATTTTATTTAGATTTTTCGCGAGATTAAATTTCTTGCTCGATTAGAGCATAAAAATGTTGTTCGGTATTATGGTTCATGGCTTGAGCATATCAATAGTAAACAGCGAGAGACAGAGTTATCTTCTTCATTACATTCATGGGAGCATACTTCAAAATCAAGAGATTCCAATGAATCATCGACTAGCGGTAATAGTAATATAATTGAAGATGGCTCACAAGATGATTCGGACATATTTAGAATGTCATTTTCGGATGATGAAACGAAGTCAGAGGATTTCAGTGGTATTGATTTTGTAGGAGAGGACATCTCTGCAGTAGGAGGATTTCACTCTTCAAATTCGGTTAATGGACATTCTTCAAGTCGCGATCAGGCTCATGGAGAAAACTTTATTGAAGTATGTCAAGATTCGGATGATAATGAGGATATTACGCAGATGAATATTAATCGAGATTGGATGCTCTTTATCCAAATGCAATTGTGTCATAGTAGTCTACGTGATTATCTAAAACGTAGAGATTCTAATCTCTTGACCACTAAGAAGGATCCATTAAATGCGATTGATCGTCATGCTAGTATTGAATTGTTTCGTGGTATCGTTCACGGTGTTGCTTATATTCACTCTCAAGGATTAATTCACCGTGATTTAAAACCGGGAAATATTTTCATGGGCATCGTTCTTGACAATGGATCAGATCAGAATAGTTGGATTGCCGCAGATAGTTCATCTTTCGCTGTTGAACGTTTAGTTCCTAAAATTGGCGATTTTGGATTAGTAACAGCAGTGGATGGGGTTCAAAACGGTTCTCCTATTGATGATGTCATACTTTCCAATATGTTAAAGTTTAGAGATGGAGATAGGATTTCTGGTAACATACAACATGGTTCTGCCTCCTCACCTTACAATTTAAAATCCAAAAGAACCACTGGAGTTGGTACAATTACGGTATAATACATCATCATTTCATATTATCTCATTCATACGCTAAACATTTCTTTTGAAATATTAAAAAAAAAATTTTTCCTTGTTCCCTTTAGTATGCATCACCGGAACAATTGGCCAAACCCGCTTGTCCTTATAATGAAAAGGTGGACATTTATTCTTTAGGCATCATCTTCTTTGAACTACATTTCCCGTTTTCAACTCGTCACGAACGTATTCAAGTTTTAAAAAATTTGAGGAATGGAATTTTGCCAAAAGGATTTGTTGAAAGGTTTCCTAAAGAAGCCGCATTCATTTTATGGATGATGGCTGAGGATCCGGATAAACGGCCTAACGCGAAACAAATTTTAGATTTTGAGTTATTGGCGGGACCTATTGATGTAATTATCATCATATTTTTTTTCTGTTAAAATGGATCCCTCATTAATTTCTTTATTGACATTTTTATCTAAATTTGTTCAGGGAGAACATGCAGAAATGCAACATAGACTAGTGCAAAGCACACAAAGATTAGATATGGTTACAAAAGAGAATGAAATATTAAAGAAAAAGCTTGCGGAGTTAGAAGAAAAATTAGAGAAATGTAAATGTGGAGAATCACATTTATGATTAACTTAATTTTTAAGTTTTCAAATTTTGGTTGGTCCATTAATAATATTATTATTATTTAAAAAAAAGAAGCTTTGATCGTTCAAAAATTCTTATTTAAGTAATATTTAAGATAATTTTTTATTTTCATGTAATAATAAATTTAAAGTAATTTTATTTCAATAAAATATTTAAAAGAATTTTGATGAATATATATGTATAGCTATCAAAAATTATCAAGAGCAGATTTAAATGAGGCCTAATCGTAGAAGTAATTTCACAAACTTTAATAGTTTCTTTACAAGAACAACACCAAAGGAAAATTAGATATTCTTTATGCCTTATGCCAGCGGTTTCGTCTGGTCAGTGACGAATGAATTCTAGAATGATGAAAGTTGATTGAATTTTTGATTGTTCGCGCATGATGTCATCGGGTGATCGGCTATTAATATCACATTACGGATCTTGCATTCGGGGATTTTTAAATATAACGATGTTTAAACCTTTTTAATACTCATAAAATTTGTATATAGAAAAAATTTACACTTTACACCAGCATTTGGCCATAGCTCAAATGGCTAAACAAACAATGGCCAAATGCCAATACTGCTTTACACTAAAACTAGAAATCGGAAGCCAAACAAAACCAAAGAAATTTGATTTTATTAATGACACGTGATTATGTGATTTACATTATACAAAAATTGATTTTTGAAATTTATGTTAAAATTATGTAAATCAACAAATTTTCTCTTTTCACTTCAAAAAAATTGAAAAAAATTTAGATAATAAAACTACTATACATAATAAATATATTAAAAAAGATTTATTTTCCTATTTTTCTGTTGAAATTTCTTTTATATAAAATTAATTTTTAAACAAAAGTTATATCAATTAATATAGATATATCTCTGATTTTCTTATATATCAATCTTATGATCTATAAATATATCTTTTTTAGCCTTATAAATAATCTACACTAAAGATGGAAACTGTAATTAATATGTTGCAACTTTTAATGTTGCAACTTACGTTGTAATTAGTTTTAACCTATATATATTGCAACTTATAATGTTGTAACATATGTTGCAACTAATTTTAGCTTATGTTGCAA